GAGAGAGAGAGAGAGAGAGAGAGAGAGAGAGAGAGAGAGTCACTCCTGCATACTACATGTATACTATCATAATATGCATCAGCAGCATGTACAAGATATGCTGCCTGTTATGAAATTAAGTTTATTTATTTGAACTTGAGTATAAGCTATTGAGCACGTTCCCTTCTCTCGTGTTACTTTTTATTCTCTCCTGTAACCAAAACCCGTGTAACAGCAGGGATAGTGACAGGGGGGAATTCTGCACATCGTTACCCTGACAACCACGAGCTACTCGAGCTTAATGTTATGGCTTGTTTCACCATTGAAATGTAACCGTAGCAGACTTCCTAGCCTAAGGAGAGTGTATCGGATTTTTGTGTAATAAGTCGGTCTAGACCCTGGTAACAGGAGGGATCGATAAGAAAGCTCCAATAAACTCTTTAACATTTGGAACTTATTTTAAGAGTGTGTAGCTCAAAAGCTACATATCCAATTACTTTGACATTTTTTACACCTGTCATGCAAGCTCATTGTCGTTTGTGAACTGTACTCAGTGTGCACTGGTCTATCGATTTGTTTGATATTGTCGTTCACGGGGTTTTGATATTTTGTCAAATACTGTGAATCTGTGAAGATGTGTGGGTAACTTTGAAAACAAAAACTATTATACACGCAAAAGTTGGAATCCTTCCAAATTTTTCGCCACATAAAAAGTGGCTCCTCTTTATCGATTCGCCATGCTTCGGTTGAATGAATCAGACAGAACTCACATCATAGATGCTCTCCGCTTTCGTTAGTCGAGGGAAGGTTCAACATGAGCAGCCACACTGTGTATGTGTATGCCACACAGGATCACATGGCAACGATAGACTCCCAAAAGGACAGACCCAAGCGAGTAGAACGCCGAAAGACGGAACGGAGGGTGGACGCATTCATCCTAACGCAACGCTTGAGAAATCAGTTTAAGTCTGCAAACAAAGATCCGGGATTAGTTGAAAAGACTTAGAAATAACAGTCCGATCTTTGTCATGACCGTTCCCTTTCGTTTAAAAGACAGGAAACTTCGTAGGCCTACTAGGGGCCTTATAGTTTGTCGCATAAAACTGCAGCCCCATCACATCCAGCGCAGACTTCACCG